TTGAACGAGTAATAATCCGACTGACAGCCAAATCAGTAGTTCTGCCTTGCATACGCCTATTTGACAGAACTAATAAGTATCGGAATTCTTTCTGCTGAATGTGAACGTGTACCCCTCGTGCAGCATCAGGGCTCTACCTCTCTCTGTTGCGATCACCTCTATCCTTTCGAATGCAGTCTCAGTTCCAAAATAGTCGCTCTTATATGGCCTCCGCATTCACCGTTCCGGACGGACCCAGTAGCTGAAACGTCTGTTATAAATTCTTTGACTTTGAGAAGTGAAAGACATGCTGAGATAAGAGGTGACCCACTTTGTCATGCCGAACCAGCATTTAATGTTCGGGACCGAACCAGAAGCTGAAACGTTTGTTACAAATTCTTCGCCTTTCAGAAGCCAAAGACATACTAAGATATGAGGTTAGCCACTTTGACGTCCGAACCAAACTGAACAATACATTTTTGGGGGGACGAACTGTTGTGGGACCGGTTGGCCGCGTGACGAGTCATCCTATAACGAATGTTCCTGTGTGACGAATCGTCCTGTGACCAATCGTCCTGTGACGAGTGTGCATGTGACGAATGGACCATATCCCGAACCTAGCTGCTTCGCAGGTTCGCCGGAATCGTGCCAAGCGACTCCGGCGATTCCGCCGGAATCCTTCGATGAAATCGATGCACACGATGTTCCACAGAGACGTCCTTCTGACAGATATCCGGTGTGTAATCATCATAGTAGACTTCACGCTAACTTGAAAAACGGATACCAAAGAGAACGGACGATGCCTAAATTACGCAATGTACAGGTTCGACATTGTAACGCATTTTGCAAACCATGCACGATGCAATCCTATTGTCATAGCGTATCGCTACTATCGTTTACAAGCTGAGACCGTCAATTGGCCTGAGACAGCCCAATTGAAAATTTCTGGCCGGCTAAATAGTTCCGAGGTTTCACTGCGTCCGCCGTTACCGGACATTCGAAGACGCCTTTTCTATCGGGAACGACTGCCGGTGAGTGCGACTAGCAGATTGTAAATAGCACACACATTAGGTCATCCTTAATTCTAATTAACCCTACCTTTGGCGCGTCATCGAGCTTCCAGCTTTTGCCGGCACCCCAACACCACGGCCCACCACCACCGGCTCGTTGGGTCGATAGGCCTATCGAGAATCGAGGGTAGCGCATCCTGGGAGCAGTCCACGTCCACGCACACACTTGCCCAGTCAAGCGCACGATCGTTAGATACACACACCAACATGGGAACACGACAACAGCACACGACACAGAGCAAGAACGACAGATTCAGATCTCAGAAATTAGCATCTCGCACACTCCGACTGACCCCGACAACCGGATTGCCGAATGAGCTAGGCACTAGCGCGAGGGCTTCTGGGATAGCCACCGTCGTCGCCGTCGATGTCCAACGTTGAAATTAAGGCCCGTTGACACTCTTGCGACCGAGTAGGACCGAGAGAGACCAGACCGGTTTTTAAGCCTCTTGCGATCTCTTAAGACCAGCTCCGCTGCAACGGATCTGGTCCTAAGAAGTCGCAAAAGGCTTAAAAACCGGTCTGGTTTGTCCGGTTCGTACTCGGTATCAAGAGTGTGAACGGCCTTAAAAGAATGTACAAGTCCGTCGCAAGCTGCGCTGTCGCGCGTCGAACTGCTCAGCGCGGCGCCGCGTTCAACTTGACGTTGCAATATAGACACCCCGTTTGCAGACAGCGTCAGCGAGCGTGAACGAGCGCGCGCGCTCGTTGACGTTACGACTGAGTATAAACAGCCCTTTAACCGATCGCGGCGTCAGCGTTTGGCTGGAGTTTGTGTTCTCCGGTGAGGAGGAGGAGGGGCTCTTTCGTTACCCCTCCAGCCTGTGTGAACAATGCAGCATGCACGCTGCCCAGCTTAGCACAAAAGCCCAAGGGCGTTAAGCTCGCATCCTCTGACGACTGCTTTCGGGAGAGATCCGGCACTTAACGTCACTTCACTGGTTGTTGGTATTTTTACATTACACTGTGCCCCAACATGCCCAAAAGACCTGTGGGCATGTGCACAGGCCTTGTGTTGGGTAAATCGAGGTGTGGGGGTGACCAACGGGTGACCAACGGGTCAGAGCGCCTCGCCAATAGTGACATCGCTTGATATCACTTCCTGCGGCGCACGTTATACGCATCGTTTAACTACAATCCATATTTCCTATATGCGGAGTTCACTATGAACGAACTTGGGATATGGATATGAGTGAATGGATAACAAAGAGAACCCACATAATAGCCACGGCAGTGGTCGCACCTTCTTCTCTTAGGTAGCGTTCGGAAAGGCACTTAACGTTGCGAAACGCTTTGTTGGCATTTTGAGAGGTCATCCAGCTTTTAGTTAGTTTCCTGGGTTTCCTGCCCTGTTCCCTACTTATCAATGTTCGCTTACCGACAGTGTTCGAGAGAGCAATAGGTGACGGACTGAAGAGAAGAAGAGAAGAAACAAAAGGAAACCCGGACGTTTGCCCTAGCGGGGTCAAATATAAAAAAAAGCAAAACAAAAAGGTATTTTTTGTGGGTCCACTTTTTATCTTTTTTTTTTATTTGCTTTTTTCTCGACACTCAAGTCTGCACTGTTGTCGTAGGTCGTTTCCCCGTGTGCGTTGCGACTCAGGGTGGCATCTTTACTTCCCTAAAACCACACCTTTTGTTTGGTGATTTTTTTTGGGCAAACTCTATGGAAACAAAATGCACCTTGGGGAAGGCGGGGGGAAACCTTCATTGTACGAGCTTGGCTATGAAATATGAGTCACAATCGGCCCAAAAGTGATGTTTTCACGACCTCAATTTAATTATTTAAGTCATAGTAGCTTATCGGAGCTAGCAAGAGGATTTCGTTGCTCGATAGAATGTTTACGTTTGCTCGTGCTACGCCCACGCCACTTCATACCGAAAATCTCGGAAAATGGCGGAATTTCAAAAATGTATTTGAGATAATGAGTACAAGGTAGTCGGAATTGTAATTAAACTAGAGTATCAAATACCCTCGATCAAAGGTATTTGCAAGATACGAAGATACTTTAAAAAGTATTTGAAATACAGTGTCTTGAGTAAAGTTTTTGAGATAGGCACAAGTCTGAGTCATAAGTTCAGCTAACGAGGTATTAAAAATAAACAAAAAAGAAACATTCATCTTATAACTGTGCTGTATACTGCATAGCAGCTAAAACCGTAAACGAAAAAAATCTGAGCTTGTTTGAGCAGTTGAGGGAAACAAGGGTTAATTAAGAGACCCCTAGCCAAGCCTTAAACTTTCAAGGTCTCAATTTCGAGCAGAAGTTTTAGAGCGCAGCTCCATGGGACGAATATGCGGCGGAAAATCGACGAATATCGCCCGGCGGCGTTTGCTCTGCGCGTGGCATCAGCACAGTGGCTACTATCGTCGCGCGTAAAGCGAGCGTGCCGTAGGGCGACGTTCGTCAGATATTCGTCGCTCCTTTAGGCGCCCGTTTGTGGCTTGAGCGGCGTCGCCGTCGCCGTCGCCGTAACAGCGCGATGACGATGACAATGAGGATGACGCTAAATTCCACACTGAACTTAGCGGAAAAATTTTCCCGGGTAAATCTTGCGAAAAATATTTCTCTGCTAAATTTAGCAGGGAATTTAGCGTCATCGCCATCGTCATCGTCACTTATGACGTCATCAGTGACGTCACCAGTGACATCATCTAGAAAATTTCCCCGCTACATTTAGTGGGGAATTTTCTTTCCGCTAGACACGCTCTTCAAGAGCTGCGCTCTAATTCGGCGTTACAGGCGATTCTAAAGGTCTTTCATTTTTTATAGACTTATGGCACATTCATATGACACTTAGAAACATCAACCGATCCACTGCCGTTTATTTTCATCAGTCAACCTCAGACACTACGCCATCGTTTTTCTTCTTGTGCGGTGATTTTAGAAAAAAAAAAAAAGAAACACCGCACAAGACAAAAAAGCAATACACTGCAGGCTACTGCCTGTCAGCGTTGTACTCGCCCCTGACGAACAATGTTAGAACTGTAACAATGCAGGGCCTACTTGTTGGTCTAATACCCTAGTTACACGGGCGCTTTGAACTGTCGTTGAGTTCAATCACAGTTACCGGCCCCAACTGTGATTGAACTGAACTGAACTGAGATGGTGCTACACGGCTCTCTAGAACCCAGTTGAAGCTAAAACGAAACTAGTTATTGTGCCACGTGATCAGTCTAATTGTTAAAGTAATCTACTCGGAGAAACATATTTTATTTACTATAAGTATATCGTACATTATGTTCAATACTTTGTTGCTTTTTAGCGGCGTTTACATCAGTACAAAAGCAGATTCAGGGCTAAGTTGCGCATATTTTAGGCTAGGTGGAGCTAGCTACCACCCGCTGCGATGGGTGCACCTATTACTATCTGTCCATTCACACAGCTGGTCCCGCCGCCATCTTCGCTCGTTTGGTGGCTTGCCAGCATGCTTGCTGGGCTTGCCGGCTAGCCGGGATCGTTTTAGCGGCAGCTCGGACGCCTAAAGCTATTCCTTCCCGGATATTTTGCTGCTACGATTCTTTTTAGACGCCTCCCCCTGCATTCCGAAACAGTAAGTACCTCGGAAACGATGGTCGGCGGCAGCGGTCCCGCGGACAGGCGCCATTTTACCTCAGTTGGGGAAGTCCGTTCAGTTGAACTGAGGTAGGGGAGCTCAGTTGAACTCAACTGTCATTAGCGGCTCAATGACAGTTGGCGCCGCCGTGTAACTCCGGCCGATCGCGATTGAGTCAACTGTCGTTGACTCAATGGCAGTTGAAAGCTCCCGTGTAACTAGGGTATAAGACATAGTTGTTTGTCTAGGGCCTGGTTGTTGGTATCTTTTCATTCCTAGATGAGACTTAGTTTTTATCGGTTTCTTGACAAGACTCCGGTGAACCATGTTTGGGGTGCTGCACCATGTATACATGAAGAGCAAACAAAATGTCTATAACATTCCCTTTTCTAGGTACCTGTTCGAGTTCATGTCAGTCTGCCGTAAGAGTGGACATTTGTTCTCTTGATCCGGACTTTGGCAATGACACTTACGGTCATGACGGATACTTCTACGATAAATATACCGACAAATGCCTGTCTGCAACACTTAGTACTGCTGAATATGATGACACTGAAGCAAACACATTCTCCAGTCTAGACTACTGTCTCTTCAGGTGCAGAAGTAAGTGGTTCTGGTCTTCAATACTTTTTATTGGTTTCCTCCGGCTTGTCATTAGATCGCTAAACGTGTTTCATAATTCAAGATATTAAATTACTGCTGGTATTGTGAAAAACAGTTATAAATTAGAATAGGTTACTAAAGAATTCTATCCAAAGCATGTTCTTCGAAAGCATAATTTACCAAAATGAAATATAAAAATGAACAAAATGAGTGTTTTTTAAAGCACGCAGAAAAACAATTAATCTTTTGCACTTCTTTGGCACAAAACCATGTCACCGCCACACGTATTACGTGCAGAGCCACACCAAAGGTTTGCTTCTCTTATTTTACATATTAGTCTAACTTTCAGAGACGGCAACACAATAAAATAAAAAAAGCACAATATTTGCAAGGTTTAGTGTTTTCCACTAGCGCGAATAAACGAAATATATATATATATATATATATATAATACATGAAAGTTTATATTACCATAAGGGGGGAATACAGTATGGCTATAATAAGTGCTATTACCGTCTTGTATATATATTTTTTCTTGATCACATTCTTCAAACAGAACATGTACCGGAGCGGTGTTTTGATGACGCCATCAAGGACTATCCCATTCGCATACCAACAGAGGGCGTTAATAAATGGACTTACGATTCTGACGCAACAAAATGCGTCCAGTTTATATGGAAAGGATATAACACACGAAATAGAAATATTTTTGACACGCAGTCCGACTGCATTAACAAATGTAAAGGTAAGTGTATGCATGTTTTTGACGGTTTCACTCTCGAAAGGAAATGAAACAAATTGTACGCACAGGTCAGGAAAAGCTTGTGACATCAATGTTTTTTTCAATCCTTGAATTACGGTTGCTCTGGGGAGGCAGCAGGATGTAATTCGTATCGCAGGAATTCCGCTTCACCGATCGTCCGAAATTTACGATCCCAGTAAAAACGTTTTTTTGATCAATATACTCGTACGTACCATGTCATTCAGAACAATAATAAACTCGTCTCCCTTGCGTAAAGTTCAGACAGTCGCGCAACCTTAAGGAGTTCCGGAAGAAAAATTGAAACAGTCTGGTTGGGACATTTGGGCCAAAAAATTTATTTTCGGCGGAAAAAAGATATAGGGCAATATTGACGGCACGAGACGCGATATAGTCGGTAGTCACCTCCTTTTTGCTTGTTTTCTCTCTCGGCATTTTGGGCGCGGGGACGAGAGGTAAATCGGCTTCGCCTTGACGGTGAGGTAGAAAGAGCGAATTGCCATCTCGTTGAGGGATGGACCATTCCGTGGCGTCATGGACTTTGCGTTCAGAATTTCAAATAAATCTCTAGCCGTCAATATTGCGTTAGATTTTTTTTCACGAGTAACTATTAGTTTTTTACACGCGTGTCCCAACTAAACTGTTTAAGTATTTTGTTTTGCTTTTCAGCGTTTTTTTTAAGAATGCTACCTTAAGATGGCTACACACTGAACGTTGTAACTTACCATGTGTTTCGCGTGTGTTTGTGTGAGTGGAACGATTGAGTTTATACTCATAATGTAGAATCTTCCTTTATCTCGCCGCGTTCTCTTCTCCAAATGCAATTTTGTGCATTGTTCAAGTCAAACTTCAGTTGAGATGTATTTTTGTTTGCACTCAGTATTGCAGGAGCTCGAAGACGTATTTTCTATATATTCGCTTTTATTACTATTCCTTCAAACCACGCAAAATCTCTCCCCCCCCCCCCCCCCTAAAAAAAACAAAGAAAAAAAAACGGTGTAATTCCTGAGTAACACAACCAGCCTGTAAACCCTCCGACGTTTAAAAAAAAAAACGAGTTTTTTCGCTCAAGAGTTACACCACAAGAAACAATTAGCGTTAGAAATTAATCCGAAACTGGTGGCTTCGCTGTTCGTGTGGGTGTTCCTTTTACCTACAAATGTGCCTCCTTGCACGGATACTGCGCTAATGCTTTGTCTGGAAGGGGAAGGGGGCATTTTTTGTGTAATATGCGTGATTCATACATGCACCTAGAAATTTTTTGGGGAGTTTGATCACCCTTTAAGTTAGTAGAAATATTGAAATGCTTATATGCTGATATTAATATTTCAAGTAATACCCCTGACGTTGGCTGTTTATCATTGCTAACACGGGCACTCAAAGAAAACTGCCATTTAATCCAGTTAGATATTTTCTATAACTGATTGAACCACTTATGTTTTACATAACCATTTTATTTTACTTCCAAGGTTTTATCTCGTCTCAATCTATGAACAGGAAACCTTAAGCAAAGCCTCCATGGACGTAGACGTACCTCACCTCTATTCAATGACCATTTATTGTAACGGCAAATATTTTTGTCGATCTCTAAACACAGAATCACAATGTTTCTACGTGTGTTGCGTTGCGCCGCGTTTGCTGCGTTGAGCGCTGCACGTACAAAGATTCAATTCCTTTCCAGGCCTCCCCATACTACTCCTTTACCAAAGAATATCATAGTTAAGCATCATATAGATGCCAAGAAAAAGTAGATAATAATATAAACTTGACTTAAAATTACTGCATATTACTGAAGACGGTAGAAATCATTCATGTTAACATGAGCAATGCAATAATCTTTTTTAAGAAACAAAATGGGGAGACATTACTTTTGTATCACCCTTCGTAGCTTATATTCATATTGCATACAAAATATTACGGAACGCTTTTGAAATGATAAGAAAAGGAATATGCAGAGCGTCTATATTTATTTTTAACAAACATAAATAACAAAGAGGTGAGGATTAAACAGGTGCAATCTTCACTGGGCATTTATCAGACTCGCAGTACATGAGATAAGGAAATAGCCTTCACGGTAAGTCGGCTAATTAACTAACATTTGTAATTAACTTTTATGTTTGGTCTTGTGGTGATCGCATTATTGCAATATCGACGGAAGTTTCAATAAGAGCAGACACCAATTTAATTAGTTATCGAAATACTATCAGGTTTTTAGATATTTATCGATCAGTCTTTGCATATCGGTAATCTTATTTCTAACCTGGACGACGAAAGTGCTGAAAATCCCGTCTACAATAATGTGTAAAAAAATAACTCACCTTTTTGGGCGCTTCGTCATAACCGATCCGCTGTGCGATTTTGGGGCATCTGACAAGCACACGCGGCGGAGATAATGAAGAGATGTGCAAAACGACTACTCACACTGCTAAAGCTAATTTGGGTTTAAGTTTAGGCACTCTTTCTGCATCTACTTTGGAGACCAGACAAGAAAAAACGCGAAAGCAAATCGTTGATTATCTCGAAGTCTTCCGACATTTTGATTACTCTTTTATTTAGATAAGCCCATAATCATATCTGCCGTTAGTACACTAATCGCAACATCACCAATCAAGCTAATAATTAAAAAGTTAATTCACTGATTTCATTTAATTACCTGACTTACTGTAATAATAATGCCCGTCTAGCCTAATAAATACACGTGGAACAGATGGGAAAGGTAACACTCACCACTTTTTTTTTGATGTTCGAATTAAAATAACACATTACATTTTGTGTATGTGTTCTTGGTTTCTTTTTTTTTTCAATTGTTCTGCTAAGAGTCTAGGGTCCACCTGCCCCGCACGTCAGAATGCAGTTATTTAAATGATTATTGCTCTTTCCCCTTTCATGGTTGAAGTTCCTGACCTGGGATTATGCGCATCCGGGTTTCGTACTAATTGTAGCCATGGTGATGAGCTATATATTTGGTATGATTATACAACGCAAGAGTGTAAACCTTTACCACCTCACCATTGTCCAACCCATGGAAACGCATTCTACACATTCCGCGAATGCTACCGACGCTGTGGAAGTAAGTACATTTTAGCACTATCTTGTGAAAAACTCCATGCGTTATATTATTGCATATAATTAGTTCCAAGCCATCTCACTCTACAGAGTGTTTCACGTAATGCGCGCCAAATTGATCCAGTTAAAAGTAAGCATCGCAGAGAAAAAAAAAGGTAATGTCATAATGGTCTTTGCAAAAAAAAAAAACATTGAAAGCATTTTTTAGCACTTGGATATAAGCAGGTACTTAATACATTTAAGATAATAGGATTTTAACTAAAAATGTTGAAGGCATAGAGGCACCTGACTTTCACGGAAATTATAAGGATCGTGCAACATTATACGGCGTTAAATAAAAACGCTTCAATCGAAAGTGTTTTTACGTTCCGCTTTTGTGTCACAACGCACATGCGTTCCGATGGCCGTGCTCCCCGTGGCAAAAACGCGCAACTACTGCCTGGCTTCTCTCGTAAAAAAAAAAAAAAAAAAAAGTGTGGTGCGAGCTGGCGACAATGAAACGTTGTGTACTGTCCGAATGACATGGGAAAAATATGCTTTGATTCTAATGTTCACATCTGTTATGCGAAGAATTCGTCACGGTGAACGTTTAGTTGCGCGATTTGGCCGCGAGAAAAAGGATCTCTGGCCCAAATATGCGGTTTGATGCGCGTCCAAATGCATGTTGGAAGGCACCGATCGCGTCCAAATTGAGTGGTTTTTTTTTCTTCTATTTTTTTTTAAAGCTGCAGAATGCTGAATGTGCTTTATATTTCTGCGAATGATGATGACTCATTATAGATGCCGTCCGGAAGGTTACTTATTAAAACAATTCCTCTAAATTTAATTATTAAGAAGTGAATTGCTAGAAAGTAAGTAAATACATAATTATACCTAACATTCTTCATTTTTCTAAATAGGCCCTTTGGCTCAAATCAATATAACATCAGTGGTTTTTTTTTTCTGTGCGATGCGTATCCTTGCCAGAAGTGATTTTGCTCACGTTTCGTGAGGCACCTTAAATCTATCCACTCATCGACTCACCCGTGATATTCTTTTTGTACACCCAAAGTAATTCATAATCAATTTAATGCTGACCTAGTGAGCTATGTGCATTTTCATACACCCTTTCACTTTTGTAGACACCACCTTCTATTTTATTTTTCGTCAAAGGGCAAATTTTACCATTAATTCGCATGCAACTCTCATTTATAGATTTAGAATCTCCATGCTAGGACATTTTTGATGAAATGAACTCTTTTAAGCGTGAACTACCTTCTGAAGTCTATGTTTAAGACAATTTTGATGACAGACCATTTTCTTCTTTTTTTTTTTTGTAAGAGTATGTCAGGGAAGAATTTCTTCGCGAGTTATTTTTCGTGTTTAATTCTCTAAGAGGCGTAAACTTCTTCTAGTGTGATTGCTTTCTTTATTACTTTTCATTTATTACAATTTATTACTTTCAAGTGTTGAGTTCGACCTTTATCATTCTTTATCATCTGTGAAAGTGCATGAATTGTATCTCTGATGCTGAAGGTTAATTAGCCTATTACATGTACGCAGTACTCCGAACGTCGCACCTACAAAAATAGATTTATTAATACTAAAGAAATGTTCTAACCAAACGTATTACATGTGCATGCCAAACAGAATGCAAACTTCAAGTAAAACATATGCTTATATAGTGCATACAAAATAATAAAATAGGTGTGATTTATTACCTAAACTTCACATTTTCGAGTCTCAAAACACAATGCCTTTTTCCCCTTTATTGCGCGTCCCGCTTATGGGCCCGAGGAATATGGTCACTCTTCGTAGAAAACGGGTTCACCAGAGATAAAAATCGCTGATAAAAGCAGTGTTACGAGATGGGCACACATATTCCATTTTAATCCCGTTCCGGGGAATTCCACTTTCCGACAATTTCATTCCATTCAACTCCTCGGAATGGAGACACCGGGCCCATTCCCGCTCCGGCAATGGCTGGACTCCATCATTCCATTTCTCTCATTCTTATAACGTAAAACAATGGCCATTGAGAGCCACTTTGTGTGACTCGAAAAAAGCTGCATAAAATAGCCGACGTTATCGAACGCTAAGACGTCTGCGAAACTATGCAAAAGCTTCTTCAAAGCGCTTATTCCACTAAGCCGAAGGGTTGTCGCAGACAGTGGCAACACTAGGATCAGCTGCACTCGGGACGGTGGCCTGCCGAGCCACGCTCCCCTCTTAGCCGTCTTATTGTCCAGTTGCATCCTCCTGCGCGCTACATCCGAAAGAAGGCGCGGTTCATAATTTTATTATTCCGAGCCGTTTCCAATGAACCGGTAACCGGCAATTGAGATTACGGTTCCGTTCCGGTTCGGGTTCAATATTAAATGTTTGAGCTCGGTTCCACGTTTGCTCCGGTTCACTTAAAGATAACAGTTTTGCTCCGGTTTTCGCTTCGTGCTCGGTGCGACACCCTTGTTAAAAGCTTCATGCTAATAGCGCATAATTACAAATGCCACTTTGTCGCGTCTCGCGGCGCCAGGAACGACATCGTATCCGTCTAATACTATTCAGTTTTAGTTGCTTCCCTGAAGGCGTGATTTATTCATCCTCGAAGGAGCAAAAGCCAGTGAGACAACCAAACCGTCAGTCACCTCCAGTGCAGTGATGCTGTCTGAAGAGCCACTTACCATGCGCTACTAAACTGCGCCATCAGACCGTAGGTCCTAGATTTTGAGAGAAAAATAAAAATCGACACAGCTCGCGTAAGAATTTTCCGACTCCATTCCGGAAAAAAAGGCATCCAATTCCATTCCCATTCCCATTCCCCCCAGCGCTGCCGCCATTTGTTTCACATTCAACTCCGAGGTCGCGAAAGTGCAAAATAATTCCAGAATCATTCCAACTCCGGAGTGGCAACTTTGCAACACTGGATGATAGTAATGAGCACTCATAAATCTTTTCAATGTTTCGATGTAGGTGTATACTTCGTTTCGGCTGAAGTCTAGACGCAGCCGTCGCTGCAAGTTCATGGGAAGAAACAAGCCGCGTCGAAAGCGCAAGTCACTGGGCCTCTTTTGTTTATGATTGGTTCAGCGAATATAGAAGATTCATAAACATGACGAACATTACAATAGTACGCTTTTGACGCTGTCCGATTGGTACCATCAGCTCGTAGCGTCAGCTACCTTTGGGCCATGGTGCTCCGAGCTCTGATTGGCTCTGATCGAAAGATAGTGGGTAGACATAAAAGCAAGCCTCCTCGATGTTTACCAACTATCTTTTATTCAGAACCAATCAGAGCTCGTTGTTGTGACGTCACCACAACATCTGCAAAAGAGGCAGACGACCTCGCGTCCCGCATAGCGCGCGTCGACGTCGGAAATACCCAGCTCCGGTTGGAATGATTAGTGGGTACACTGCACTCGCCAACCGCGCTAGAAGACGGAACGCCGGTGTCCAGCGTCTGGCTCTCGCATTTGATACATTCGAGATGCGCAGTGGAGACAAAGGTAGCTAACTTATGGTCTACCCCCTAATCCTTCGAACCAGAGATCGATGTTTTGACGTCCCTGCACTCCCTCGTCTTCCCCGTCTCCCTCAGTTTATCGGCGCACAGATCTGGACACCGAGCGCGTCGCAGCTGCCAGATAAAGTCCTCGTCTCACCTTGGTTGCAAGCGTCGCCACCAGGTGGCTCTTCGATACGCGGCTAATTAAATCCCTTCTATACTAAATGTAGCGCCATTGATTGATCTTCCGACACTCTCTTCCATTCTATAAACAACCTCCTCATACTCTTCAAAGTTTTCGTTTCCACTACAATTGATTCCCCGAGCGTCCGTCCCGTTTTCGGTTTGCCACTTCCGTCCGCCATTTGTGCCTTACCGTGTCGCGGCCTCGCATTCTCCGGCGGCTTGTATACGTATACAAACTACAACAGCTGCCTGTCGTAGCTTCTTTTTTTTTTTTTTAATTTATCGGTGAGCGTGTGTCGCCTGCTTCGCTGTTAGAAACGTCATCGAACTGCCGCTATGACGTCAGCGTTACTAAATCACTTGCGCCTGTTCAAAAAAAAGACGTTCATTCACTTTTTTTTTTTTCATTTCGTTTTACTTTTGCGTGTAAAGGTTGAAACAAATAGGCACAAGCAGTGTTCGTATTTGCCGTCGACTGTTTCGGAAATGAGGGAGTTGGCGACATGAAAACTGTGGTGCGGTTTACTCCTTTGGCAGCCTAAGATCACGGGTTAGCATTCCATAACAGAAACATTTTCTCGCTTATCGCCTTAGTTTCCCTGCCTGCTGAAGAGGATAGATTAGGTCGGTCTTTCTCACTGCTAAAGTTTATTGCATGCACGATTATAAAGCTGAAGATTGCATCTGATCTCGAACCGAATGATACGAGCAGAACACAGCCGAAGCCTCGACAAAACTCGCGTTCGTGAAGTAATGGAAAAACACACCCAGTAACAAAGACGTCGACGATACCCGCAGCTCATATCCTAGCGAAAACATGAAAGCTGTGAGTCGAAATCGCGTAGAAAACACCGATCTAGCAAGGGTTTGCCAGCAGTCACCTGTTGCGGAGATCGGCAGGAGGGCAGCCTAGGGGGCGCTAGCATCGAAATGAGAAAGGGAGAGATTCGCGGAGAGGAGGAACGAGGGAGACAATCTAGAAGAAAAAAATGACTTGGCACTGCTTTCAATATAGCGGATCTTTCCGGCTAATGGCATGTAGAGATACAAGAATTGGCCGACCGACTGGTATACGGTAAAAACTGCATTTTATATAATCGCTCGTGGTCTCGCAGTCTCGCAGTCGGTGCTCGTAGCTCGAGCACGGCGAGCCCGAGGTCTTGCACCAGTATGTTTGTCCCGGCATATGAATCATAAAATGCACGCTACAGGCAGAACACCTAGCTGTTTTTTGCTGATTAAAAAAAAAACAAGTGGATAGAGTTTGAGACATCTAACATTGTCTACTAGCTATCCTTTCAATCAAAGCCAAGAAGAGCTAGGCGTCTTTCCGAAGTCACCGCAACTCCTGGACAAGAAGCACCCGAATTGTTCTCCGCATAGTGCCTCGTTATCATATATGTGCTGCTCTGTGTTTGGTGAGGAAAGAGTGAAAGTCAGTACTATAAAGGAGACCACTGAAGGTCTTTACCATTACAGCTTTTAATATAGGATAAGATATGTTTCGATTTTATCTCGAGGCGCTCCCTTGAAACTTCCTGAGACTGCAGACGGTTGTCATGGTATGTAGTACTACTCTTTCTGATGGGCATACTTCAACCCCAGACTCATCCACAGATGAACCTTCTCTTTGTGTAACATTGTATAGCATGTTTGCCTCAGATTAATTTACTTTTTAATTTGTTGCCATTTTAATTAATCTATTTTATTATAGGATTCGTAGAAAATAAATGCAAGCTACCAATTCAAAATATGAGTTCTTGCCGTACGCTTGAAAACAGGTATGGTTACAACACGAAGACTAAAAGGTGTGAAAGGTTTCTTGGGTGTGAAGATAGTGGAAACAATTTTCCAACTGCGAAGGAATGTTGGAACACTTGTACAAGTAAGTGCACAATCCTGTAATGATCTCAATTAGCAGATTCGACGCATTTTATCTAAAAAAAGTTCGTACTTTATCAACTCAATAATATGCAGCCAACCACTATCAAAGAACGTGTATCAGCTTCGGTTTAATAATATTATTTTCAAATCTTTTAGATTTCAAGGTAATAAAATCCGAGACTCAGGAACACAGAAGGGCACGAACACAGAAGGGGACGTCTTGAGTTTTGGGTTTTATTACCATGAAACATCACCAGCTCGCTTGTTTATTAAGTAATATTGCAGTTAGATTTCAAGACTTATAATGTCAGTATTCTAGACAGAAGACCACAACATTTTCTAGTATATTTTGTTTATCAGCCAGAAATATTCGTTCTTCTTTTATTGCATTGGTTCTGCTCAGGGAAAATATATACTTCGTATCATGTGTTCCAGTATTGGTCTTAGGCGAAAAAAAAACAAAACAAATTTTGAATAACTCCTTAAAAAATTAATTTAATTTAATATACGAGGCTGAGCATTGTTTACGTTATTAACAATCCATACTTCTCGTAGTACTTAAAACGAAACAAGTCAAATCACGTGTTCATGTCACCTCTAGGAGCAATCTTCGTTGATATCGCCACACCACTCCGTAATACGGGGCTTAACGGCCCGTCGGTTAACGCTCCCGATTGATATGATTCCAGAATTGGAAAGCCGCACACAAAGTTTCAGATAAATAAGGTCCTTTACTCTCATTGCAATCTGTTTAATTAGTAAATTTAAACATAGGTTTCAGTAAGAAAGTTGGGTGCAACCGAAAACAAATTAGTTAGTAAAATTGAGAAATATATGGAGCGCGATTAAAGCGTGTTAGTGCGCAAAAGTTACGTTGTGCGCTACAGGGGCCAGGCCGGCGGGGCAAAAGAGACAAATGAACAACACTGCGCTTTGGAAATCGATGCCTTTTCGAAACTTAGGAAAACAAAAATACGTTTCAAATCTTTCTAAAATTCACTGAATGGGTACCTATTTATGATGCACAGAGTCTTTCTGATAAAACTATACGTTGATTCTTGTTTATAAAAAAATACTTTAAAAATATATCTAATTATGCAATTATTCTGAATGCTAGGTCTATCAATAAATAGGCAGCTTGACAATGATCTTTGATAAAACCGGTTAGTTATCAACATCCTTCTGTGATATCTACGCAATCTAAAATCCCGGATTTAATCGGCCTGCGAAACCTCCTTTTTTCATGCACTATCAATTTATAATGAGACATCAAACGACGGCTTTCTTGACATTAAAAAAAATATATATATATTATATTTTACTACTTTATGGAAACGTTTAATTGTTTTATCGTTTGAAACTTCATTTCACAGATGAAGTGAAACACCGGTGTCTGCAGGAGCCAGATAATGAATTTTCTGGTTTGGTACAAAGATACTACTACGACATAGACTCTGACAAATGTGTACGCAAGTGCATGTTTCGTGGCCGTGTTAGCGGAGATTCAAACCTTTTCAACACGAAAGAAGAATGTGAATTAATGTGTACTGGTAAGTATAAATCACGACAGGTGTATCCACATAAAAAAAATTGTGATGTTCAATGGAGGTAACTTTCTTGAAACCTAAACATTCAATATTATATTCATGGAGAACGAATAAGTTGACTAGTGGAAATAATGCACGTATGCCCCCTGTGTCATAGCTCCTGGCCATAAAACCGAGAAATTTACTTGATAATTAAACTTTCTCGAGTTCGTTTTAAAAATAAACCGCGTTCATAGAGCGGAGATAAATCAGTCATTTCTTTATTTTTTCTAGTTCAATCCAATTAGATTACAAACCGAATTAAGTATTTTCGTACGATACCGCGGTTCTGTAACCCTTTCTGATGCAGTGTAACATCATAGTCCTTTGGAATGAATACAGTAAATTTTCGTGTAGTGATATTGCTTGGTCTGTGCAATTTGACCTTATTTTTGCAAGCTGCGCTGATTCATGCCAACGCATTCCTTCTATTTTTTTCTTTTAATATCTCTCTCCTTTAACTTTCTCCTTTGAAACCGCTTTTCTCAAAGTGAAAACAAATGCTGCGAGGAAGGCGAAGACGACAATGCCGCAGTGGCATGCACGACAATTCGGCGCCAGGCCCCACGTGCCGGCTCGTCCTCCACAAATAATTCTGTCATCACTTATTTTGTCCTTTAAGCTGTCCTCCATGGCGGGCCATGGCGCTACATAAAGCACCTCTATCCTGGAAAAGTGGCGCCATTCATTGTTGTGGAAATGCTTGAGACACGTGGAGCGCACCACTTCTGGGAACAACATGGCGTCTGAAATGTAGCTCAGTGCTGCGTTGTGCCGCCATGATCTTCCTAAGGGCTGCACGTTGGACGTGCCTCGTGCATCGACGCACCTTGCGCTACCTTTAAAACATGAAGGGGCTTTAGCGCTAGCGGTGACGCGCCGCCGCGGCCACTGCATCGTCGTCGTCGTTACCTTTCCTAACGCAACACCTTGACCCAAAATAAGCACGTCATGCCATTCGTTTTTTCAAGCATGAAATATATGTGAGCAGATGGAAAGTTTTAGCAGACCGTTTTTCTCCTTCGCTACGGTATCCGCAAAGAAAACGCCGCAGCTGCGCATGCGCGCCGCCAGCCTTGTCTTAATAGTTCAAGGTCTTGTGGCAGACTACGGAGCGCTATGCGGGTGCTTAGCGGGCTGCGGAAACGGTCTGCTAAAACTCTCTAATATGGCGCCGGGTCGCGCCGCCGAGTGGTGTAACCATAGCAACAACCTCTGATGCTACGATTTGGCCGAGTGCCGCTCCCCCACCGTAGAACGCAAGCAACTGTTGCTATGGTTACGCCGCTCGGCGACGCGATGCGACGCAGCTTTTGCTCTTTTGTGTTTCACGCTCCCGAGACTATTGCCTCGACTTATGGACGAACCGCTATAGTTTTTACGAGCGAAGACGGTGCTAAGCAGAGTGAACTCTAAGAAAAGCCCGTGGGACTACTTTCCCGCACAATACTCGGAGAGTCATTAACCGCAAGTTACGGAGGCTGCTCAGCGAACGACAATGCCAAAACTTATGTTTCCACAAAAAAAAAAAAAAAAAAGAAACGCACCCTGAGTTGTGACATTAAGCAATGCAAAGTGTCACGCTTGCATTGCTTAATGTCACAACTCAGGCTGCGTTTTTTTGTTCTAAACATCAGTTTCGGCATCGTCATTCGCTGAGCTTCCTTTGTAAGTGGCGGTGATTGGCTTTCTGAGTGTTGCGCGGGAAAGTAGACGTAGGGGCTCTTTTAGAGTGTGGTTTGTAGTCACTGTCTGCAAATATCCTTCAATAATATGCATTAAAAATATTGGCGTATACTCATGCATAATTGCCTACACGAGAATAATAGACGTCTAAAAATGCTCCGCCGCAACATATAGGGCGTGTTCCGGTTGTGTATTTATATGATTGAAGATTACAATACGAAACGCAATGCACCGAAATACTGAGGAAGAGTACGAGACGAGAGCGCGCGATGACAACAGAATTTCGAGCTGATTATTGGATAGAACTAACACTAGCTGCCTTTGAATTCCCTGCACTCGTGAAACGCGTTCGAATGCAAGGGCCAGGCGTTTGACGCCGGTGTTACGAGTTCTAAGGCGTTCACCGACTACAGTACAGACAAAGGCCGCCTCTCTCAAAGCCTCCTATATACTGACAACGCCTGGCAGATCGCCACGAAAAGCGGCCGCCGAAATGGAAAAAAAAAGGTGCAGCGGCAGGCAACGGGGGAGAGGAGAGCCACGTGACTGGCGCCTCGCTGCGGCGAGAAACCGAAACACACCTTTCCCGAGCGAACAAGTGTGTTTCGGGTCCTCGCCGCTGCAAAAGCTGTGCGCTGAGGTCCAGGTTCCTTCCCGAGAAATGGCTCTTTGATGCTCTGTGCTACCAGATCCTCGCGCTCCAAATCTGCCAGGCCTTGGAGTATGGAGAAGGCTATGCATGTATCTACACTTCACTGGTCAAACAAATAAATTCGAATGCAAAAGCCAAACGCCGTGCGCCGGCGTTCCACGTTCTAACGCGTTAAACGAGCTTAGTGGACAGACAGGCTGCTAGCTCTAGGTGTACCCACTAAGCGTTCCAACCTGAGCTCGGCGTACTGACGTCCCAGGGCTCTCTTGTCTCCTCTTCTTTAGTTTCTTGACGCTTAAATGTGCAGGATGTCTAATCTAGTTTTAGCGTCCAATTAGTGTGATCAGCATTTTATTCCTTCTTATCTTCATTTTACATGTATGTTTTTTTTCTAGCTACATTCAACTATGAGCCCGACTCGTTGTAATAACACCTGGAAGACAATATTACTTTGAAGGAGCGACTTTTCTTCGGAAGTCGTGTGCACTCCAGAGCAAGGGTCACATTAGCTGACGAACACAACTGCAGAAATAAAAAAATAAAAAAAAAACGTTCGTCTTCATGAAATGGGTCGTCATTGTAGCTGTCAAGATCGACCAAACTGAGCGTATATGCATAGCCAAAACACGAGATAGGTACTGAAGTAAAAAACAAATCACCCATGAAGTTCAACACTGTCCTCTCTACTGCTATCTGTCAGTGGGAGGCTGACTGATGAATATCTAACTGCGATATCAATATTACACAACACTTTCCGACGTCTAGAGGATAGCTCGACTTCTTGCACAAAAGACAAACACGTCTGAATTAGCTAGGATATCTTAGATAAGCAAAACCATGGAACAGCTTTTGACACCAAAACCACAGTGTGAATTCAGATAGCGGCCAGGCTATTTCAATCAACCGCAAAAATCGGTTTCTTAACCTACCGAGATACAATTTTGTGCAGCGTTGCCCGCAGGTGGTGCATTTTTTAAATAAAATTTGCGAAGAGCGAACTTACCTGAGAAAGAAGAAGCTCGAGGTACATCTTAGCACTTGTTATGAGTTGTGAAACCGAAAGCATGCGTTTCGTTCCTCCGCTCCCATATTTCGTCTGCGGCGTACTTAGGTCGACGGTCGAGCGCGCGCGCTGTCCTCGCCACGCTGACCTTGGGCGTGGAGCGGTGCAGCCGCTGCCTCGCTGACACGCAGCGCCATGGGGACGCGCTTACTGAAACCGAAGCGCAGCGGCTTCATATCACTGCCTTTTTGCGTGGCTTTCTGCGTGGTTTCAAAGCTGGGATGCCTCAGATCGCGGTTTCGGAAATTTATCTCCCGTTTGGCGCGGCTGATGGCGTCGGCTCGTTCCTGGATATAGTTGATGTTTTCGCATTAAAGAAAAAAGAAAAAAAGGCTTTGACTCCTATGGAAACGCAGCGAAGCCACCATTCTTCGAACGATAGGGCGCCCTATTGCTTGAAAACCAGTGGCTTCGCTGAGTTTCCATAGTAGTTAAGCCTTTTTTTTTTTTACTTTTTTTCTCAAGTAAGTTCGCTCTTTTCAATATTTCTGGAAACAATGCACCACTTGTGGGCAACGCTGCACAATATCGTAGCACGATAGGTTAAGAAACCGATTCTTGCGGTCGATTTAAAGCTCCCTGCAAGACGGTCATGACGGGCTACTTTGAATCAAAATACAAAATGCATTTTCGACGTTTTGGACAAAACAAAAAACAAAAACAATCAACAGAACGTTTGGAAATTTTGGACTATTAAACCTAACTAATTTTTTTTTCACTTCAAAGTGTTTTTTTTTTCCTTTTTTTATTTTATGGAGCACGGCTTTTTCCACAAAGCATGTTTTTTCATTTCAAGCATCTTGATGAGATTGTGGTTGGTTTCTTGGGTTCTATGCCTCACGCATACGGAGTACTGTTCGTTAATTTATATATCTAAATGCACTTCTACGAGTTGCGCACACAGGTGTCCCTAGGAAATATTTACCGTAATGTCCCGAGAGATACCCCATCCCCGAAAGACAACCCGCCCGTATTTTTGGCTTGATTTGCTATTTTCTTATAAACACCGAAAGATAGCCCAGCTTTAGTGATCGTAGTATTTGGATCAATGATGACCTCAGTGCAAATGTGGCTGGTTAGATATGGCAGGATATGAGCGATCATTGCTGACTGGGGAGTACACGTCATATTTTTTTCATTGTCTCCCGCCGCGATAACCAGTTTGGCAGGAAAACATGATCTAAAAATAGAGTTTTTGAACTTTTCATAAGTGTACACAGTAAGATTCTAGCCCCCTTCTTATTTTAACCTCATTTTAATATTAGGTGGGCTATCTCTCGGAATATTACGGTAGTATCGAAGTACACACGATTATACTTTTATTTTGCTCGTGCGGTTTCTTTTTTTTTTTAGAAATAAGGAAGTGCTGAAGCAGGTTTTTTAATTGCATGACATGCTTAGAAAAACCTTACACCGGCAGAAAATGTCCACAAAGTGTGTTACACGACGTTAGAATGAAGCTCGACGTTATGAATACGTCAATGATTCTTAACATTAAAATTTTATGTCTTAACAAAACATTTTTTTTAGTTAAATGCTTTGAGGAAGCTTGTTCTATGCTTCTATACACTGTTCTTTGCTACGGGGGTATATAATATTACTGATATCCATCATAGCTAGGTAAACAAATATATACATCACGTAAAACCTCACGCGTCGATCGGTACCAAAACAAACCTTTTTTTTGCCAAAATTGCATCGGTGCTGACCATGTCTACAACAGGTGAGAGATTTGGATATTCTGACTTCTCCTCCAGCCTGATTTAAACCTAAAGCCCGTTTTGAGATCCTCGTTTTATTGTCAAAACTCAATCTACGAGCTCTAAGCATCCTACAAAAAAAAAAAAATTACATTTCTGCACGGCCGATTTCCGCAATAAAACAGCCATCAAAGACCCCGTCACTTACCTTCGATGCACAACTACAGATGGCACTACCGAACCTTGCTGAACTTGGTGGAACTACGGACGCCGCTTGTCAGTCAGTCGTGATTTATGGGTTCCCGCGTTAAGGAGCGAGTGCACTGATTACTTTTAGCTAAAAATGCGATTCACGAGAAAAGAATTGTAAATTTTATGACTTCAAAGTTAGTTTTTTTTTACCATTCTCCCGAGATTAAAAAATGAAAAAAAAAATCAAACGTATTACTCACGGATTTTCGAAAGTATAACAACACGAGACTTTCTTGGTTTCACTTTGTGTTTCCGCGTCTAAACAAATTCGCTGTGTTAAAGTTAGCAAATTCATGAAATAATAATATCAGTGGTTGTCCTCTCGAACGAAACTGAATACGATAACCCAATAAAGCTGCAAGTATTTTCTGTCTCTTTAAGTATACATTATCCTAAAAACTGCAAACTGACTATACTAACACGCAGTGTTGTAGGCGTTACAAAAAAGAAATAACGAACCATGTTGCACGTTACTTGCAAAATAAAGGAATGCGTTGCCGACCTACGTTACGTCAAGATGAAAGGAACGTCTTATTGTTACCGTTAGAGATAAAAACTAATGCACGTTACTTTTGGGTTACAATTTACTTGTGAATTGACGGCAACCGAGTTTTTCTTTTTTTTTCGGTGTTAGCGTTTTTTTCTTTTTTTGTTTTTTTTTTGGGGGGGGGGACGATGGGCGTGGGCGTTCAGGTTTTTCCAAAGTGCCCTATTGAAAATCGCTCTGAGGGGACTTCAGGAATTCTTTAAAGGGTGTGAGGGGGACTTCAGGAATTCTTGTGATGTTTGAAAGGTGAACCGATATTTCCTGGTGGGTTCGTTGGCCCCGTCAGAGGCTCTCCTGAAATGTCTGAAGTCCCCTTTACAATGCCTTGAAATGTCTGAAACCCTGTCAAGAACTTTTCTAATGGGGTCGGGAAAACCTTCAGGCTTCTTGAGATCTCTGTGGGGGCACGGCCTAGGTGGAGAAAATACATGTCGCAGAATTAGAACATAGCTACGTATTGTTCACAAAGGGAAAACAAATAATTATATGGAGAATGTCGATCGTATGTCTGTACGGTCAGCTTTTTTATTACTGCTCTTCTATCAAACACAACTGGGCTCCTCGACCCGTCTGTCAGTGGCCGGGTGTTCGGTCGCCAAGGGGGCTACGGGTTCGATCGCCCCATGTGGAGAATTGACAAGGCGCGGGCCGAGTGTTGTTGGCCGAGCGGCGTTTTGAGGAGAACAAGCTTTATTTGTTGCATTAATAATAATAAAAAGGGCAAGCCGAGAGCAGCGCGTTGCCCAAATTCAGGGACGCTGCGCTGGGGAGGTTCCGAGGGCGAAGCGGCAGCGACTCGTGCCGGGAACCGGTTTCCCCGGGGGGGACTGTCCCCAAAAAGGAAAAAAAGTAAATAAACAAAACTATTTTGCTTTTCACCAAAGTCAGAAGTCCTCTCTTTTTCGCCGTCGCCAAAAACACGAACAGGCAACTCAAATCCACCCCCCCCCTTTTACAATGCCTACACACACACACTGCGCTTCTCTCCCCCCGCCAATGGGGAGAGGGTGCAATACCGCCAGTTCCGGACAGCACGCTTCTCCAATGGTCGGCGGGAGAGAGTGGTGTGAGGAAGCCGAAGAAGTCAGGAGGCCGCTATAGCCATTTTCTTTCCGCTCGTGGGCGGTTTGTTTCTCACCGCCATGGAGATCTGGTACGCACCGTTTCCTACATCCAGAAAGGTAAGCGCTGCTTTGAGGGCTCGCCCCTTGGTCTGTTTTAATCCGTGCCGTTTCTTCCTTGGTTCCGCAGGTGAACCCCAGTTCGGCGTTGGCCGCCTTCAGCACCGCTCGAGCACCATCGTGTTCAGCGCATTCAAGGAGATGGTGGCTGGTGTCGGCCTACTCGCAGCAAGCCTGGCAGCCGGGATCAGCGTTCAACCGCATGTAGTGCCTCCGCACCGGGATCATGGCACTGTGGGTCCTGAGACGGCGGATGACGGCCGCTGTCCCGCCTTGTTCTTTGCGGCTCTTCGTCCGACCGGCCTCAGAAGAATCCAGCGAGCGAAAAATACGCCGAAGACGCCGCCCCGACGACATCGTGGACAAAACCGTGACTGTGCTCGGAATTTCTCAACGGTGACGGGATCTGCTTGCAAGTTCGTGGTTTTCGCTAAACGTGCTTACTGGGACTGTGTATGTGTACGTGAGGTGCACCTGCTCCGTTTTATTAGCTGAACTACCGTACATCAGGAATTTACCCAACGGCATTGTGAGTACTTTGAAATATATTTTTCGTTGTGATAAAGAAGTTAGTTGTTCCTATTTTATATGATCTCTTTCGTCGACAGCTGCTTGCGCCCGGGCTTGAACAAGCGTTGGTTTTTATTGTCTTTTTGAGTGTTAATACGCATGTAAAACTCAATATCCGCAATAAATTTTCAATAACGTTTTGAACTGAATTTCTGTCTTCTGTTCACAGTCATTTGGGCG